AATAAATATATTAATATATAAAAATATATATATAAATTGCAAAAGGGGAATATATATATATATATAGATATATATATATTCCCCTTTTGCATAAAGTATTTTCAAGAATCTTAAAATTTTACTTGCATGCATCCAAGAAGTCAAGTCAGGTCAATTTATTTATAAAGAACATTTAAAAACGACACGTAATCAAAGTGCTGGACAACAACAACAACAATAAAATAAGACAAAAGGCGGAGACAAACAACAATGAAATAAGATATTTTAATGGAGTAAACAGGAAGTGAACAGAAAACAAGAACAGAGAACAATAAAATACGTTAACAACTCACACTGGGTCAAATATCATAGAGAACATGTGTGTTTTTAATAGATTTAAAAACAGGAAGTGGCGAGGCCTGTCTGGTGTTGGGGGCAGATTGTTCCAAAGTTTAGAAGCAACGACAGAAAAAGCCCCATCTCCTCTGAGTTTCTATCCCAGCAACTGATCAGATGATCTCAGTGCCCACCAAGGAACATAAAGATGAAGAAATAAGAGAGATATGCAGGTGAAAAACCATTTAGCCATTTATAAGTCAACGGGAGAAATTTAAAATCTATTCTGTGGCACGCAGGGAGCCAGTGAGGTGAGGACAAGACGGGTGAAATGTTCTACCTTTTGTTTAAGCTGGAGTCATGAAAGGAAGACCTGACTGCCCCCAATATAAAGTGCATTAGATTAGTCATGTTGAGTTGTGATAAAGGCATGAATTATTTCCCCAGATCTGGGCAAGTCTGCCTTAACTGGTAGAAGCCTTTCAGCAGAAGAGATCCACTTATTAAACTTGAAAATCAGGGTCTAGAATTATCCCTGGATTTGTGACGGACTGCTTAAGATATGACACAAGCGAGCCAAGGTTAGCTGGAAGAATGGCAGCAGTAGAGTTAGAGCTGAACACAATAATTCCAGTTCTCTCTTAAATAACAAATATTAAATAATTTGAAGCCACCCCAGCCTTATTGTCATCAACTCATTTTAATAGGTGAATGAGTAAGAATCATTGGTTTAGAGGGTAAATAAATCTGGCAACAAGAAGCTCATGATGACTTTTTAGCCAATGTCAAATAACAGATGCTCTAACTTTTAAGAAAAATCTTTAAAATAATTAAACATTCCTGATAGATTTAAGAAAACCATATAAAGTAAAAAGGAAATCATTCACAGTCGATACTTAGTCACAAAAGAACAATTAGACTCATAGATGTTTTTTAATGGTATTTTTGTTTTAACGTTTCTGTTATCAGTGTTAAGAAACATCTTTAAAGATGATCAGCACTTGCTAAATTGAAGAAAAGTGAAACTTTGACCAAATTAGTATTCCACCTAATTTCACTTTTTTTTTTTATTTCAGTGCACAATCTTAAACAAAATGAAACTTTGCCTCCTACAAGAAATAATGTACATGATTCTTGATCTGCAGAATAATTGATCCTTGCAGCTGTGTTTTTAATTAAACTTCTGTATTTTTTTTTTTTTTTATTGATTTACGACTCACCGTTTGTTTCCTTGGTTTCGGCAGCTTCATTGCTCACCTTCACTTCATCATACACGGTCTTCACCTCTTCTATAGCTAAAAATTCAAAGTTTGCAGAGGACATGCTTATTTAATCACAATCTCATGTTGATTTTAGCTTTAATTTTATGTAAATACATTTATTTTGATCTGTAGCTCATAGCTTGATACTCAAGGAATAAAGGACTGAAAATGAGTTTTTATTTTACTGACACAAAATTATACTAAAGATGTTGGTGCTTTTTACAAAGAAACACTTACGAAATAACTATTTCAACATTTTCTTTGTCCCTCTGTCCACTTAAACCGAAAATAATATCCTAACTAATAACTAAGCACTTATCAAATAAACAAAGACATAATCCAATTCAAGATTTTTCTCTTACCTTCTGGACATGATTGGTTTTTAGTTTTAAATATGACTGTGGCGTAGTGAACTTCTTTCTCTGCCATGGCTCTAAACTTGATAACTGAGTCTGACTTGTAGAGAGAGAGAGTTCACCGCAACAAAGCAACAGATCATTTAGGAGAAGTGGAAATATCTTCTGATGTGAGTCCATCTCTTACAGCTCTGAAATTACATACACACTTCTGCTTTTGGCTCAGAGAGTCATTTGCATCTGCCGCCGGTCTGAAAACAGACTTTAAACCACAGACAATGAAGCAGATCTACCAGCATTTTATTTCCAGTTTCCAAAATGCAAACAGTGCACATAATAAACGAAGCTAATGTGTAACTTGGACCTTGAATATTAGTACACATCATTTAATAACAAAATTACCAGTAGTTCCTCATTTGCTGTCATTAGCTGTGTTAAACATGACAGTTTTATTTGTGTCTGTAATATCTGTTTTTTTATATATATATATATATATATCGTTTGAGTATAAATGAAATGTCCATGCAGTTGATTTTTCAAGCAACGTTGGTATTTTTTGATCCAGTTAAAGAGTGTTTTGTCTTTCGTGACGTCTTTTTTAGGATAAAAAATTGACAAAGGTTCGGACCTTAATGACTTTCATTCTCACTCATCATAACAAAACCACAGCTACTTTTATAAACTGCCGTGTTCACCGTTGAGTCCCTCAAAGACCAAACGCTGCATCTGTTGTTATCTCATAAACGGATTCAGAACTCTGTTTTCTTCTCGTCATATTTGCATCCAACTGTGCAAAACTGTTTTAAGTTTTATGTGGACTTATAATAAAATCTGATAAATTATCAATTTGTTTTAGAAGTCATTTGCTTTAAAAGAAAACCAAAAGGAAAACTATAATGTAAAATAAATGGGAACATAATACATTAGTTTAGATTTTTCCAAGCAAACGTTAAAAGTAGAAACCAATTTTTCTAAACAGGTGGTTTTCTTACATAAAGCAAGCTCAAGTAATACAGTTTGATGCCATGATGCTGTTTCACTTCCTCATTGGTCTTATTCTATTATTTATTGTTTACTTTGACCTCTACTCTGTGTTTACTCAATTAATTATTGTTAGTATCCTGATGCATGCTCAATAATCCAGGTAGAAAAATCTAACAAAGTTAAGTCGGGTCCTCTGGATGGATTCAACATCATCTTCTCAGTCAGGGCTTGATTTGTAAACCGAGTGATGCTAAACACAAATAGCAGGCGGTCCAGCATGGGGGGGTTGGGCACTAACAACCTGTATAAATAAATGTTGAATTGAAATTACTATTTTAGAGAGCAACAACAACAAGTCTGTGTGTGAATAGAGCAGCCCTGATTCTGTCAAGCGTCCTCATCCCCCCCACCACCACACACACACACACACACACACTTCACTGTCTGACCCAAACTCTTCTCAGCTGAATTCAGTCCTGCTCGCTGTTGCTCCTCCTGCTCCAATCTTGCCACTGCCTTCTGGTGCTTCAGTTCTCAGTTGTCCAGCTAAGGACAATCCATCCATTTATTTTAGGTAATAAATTGGACGGTCTTTTCGACATTTTGATCGCTGTGACTTTGACAAATTAGTGCCGTCATTTTGAATCGTGATGTAATGTGAATAATACACATCAAACATTTCTTGTTGTGTTTTTTTTTTTTTTTTTTTTTTACTGTAAGCTTTTTTATTTATTATGTCTGAAATGTATGCAGGACTCAGTTGTGCGCGTGCTCTGCAGAGCTGTCTGGAGATGCTCCTGTGCGTAAAATGTGCACTGTCTGCAGGACGTGCAGCTTAAGGTGGATGGAGACGCTCCCCGCGAGACATGCGGTCCATGTCTCTGCTGGGCAGGAGCGTGTGTGCGAGCTGGTGCGCATAGTGCGGCCAGAACATCCCCTCCACAGATGGGGCAACGTCTCCTGTCGTTGTATTTTTAATAAATAATCAAAATAAAACTGCGCGATGACTTTGGACTTTTAGGGGCGGAGATTTGAGTTGCCGGATCGAAGCAATCAGTTGCCGGAACGCACACGGTCAAAATGAGAGAGTTCCCGGATCTTGTTCCGGCAGGATCCGTCTCAAATTAAGCACTGTTCTCAGGTAGAAACATGACTCATTCAATATCTGGAAACAGGGGTCCTGTGGCAGGAGGCGGAGTTAGGAGCCTACCTGAGACAGGGGGCGGGGCTTAATGAGGGCTGAGAGTCGCAGCACTCTTTAAGCCCCACCTTTGATAATAATAAGTCATGTTCTAAATTGGAGAGTGGTGATGCAGAGGTTTAAAGAAGATGGGCCTGTGATCAGAAAGTCACAGGTTCAACTCCCGATATCAAAATGTGGATGGAAAAGGTGAAACACCCAGGCCTGCCTCCACCCTCATTCGCCCCGCTCTGGGCCCCTGAGCAAGGCCCTTAACCGCCACCATCCCTAAACAGATCTTTCTTGAAAATGATTCTCGTGACTCCATGAGACTACATGTATTAAATAAAGGGTAAATGAAAATAAATTGGGCCAGTTTGAGGCATGAAACTCCAGGGCTGAAAATGAGTCCCACTCTGGCCCTGCTGAGACTCTGCTGGTTGATGAGCTGCAGGACAGACATGTGATCCCAGCTTTCAGTTGAACGCTGACAGGAACAGATCCACGTGGACAAGTTTCTCTCCTCCGTTATGTGACTTCTGATAAACCAGTCCAGGCTGTTTACCTGCAGCTCAGGTGTTACAACAAAGTTACAGGGCCTCATTCTTCAGGTGGGACTGACTCATTGAAGAACTGAGAGTTTGCTCTGTTCCTACAGGCTCTATATCCCTGCCCCACCTGTTTTCAGTATCAAACAAGAACCGCCTCCAATAAAGCTCCAAAATAAAAATAAAACATTAAAAACACTCCACTGCTTTTATTGCTGGTGGAAAACGATGCCTGTTGTTACAAGTGTGAACTGTGTGGAAGGCTCACATAATTTGGGCTCGTCCAAATCGCTATAAATTTTATCACCACCACTTTTAAAAGTTCTGTAAACAGGGAGATCTTAGCCACAGGTAGTTTTTGTAAAACATAAAAATGTGTCTGAATGTGCAGAAAGTATTTTCCAATGCATTTTACTGAAGGGAAACAAAGAGTTTTTAAGCTGTTTGCCAACAGTGACCGGTACTGAGAAAATGGTATCATTGTCTACTGTTGTCATCATTCTTTGTTTAAAACAGGTCTATCTTGTAAATGAGTCCTCGAGGCTCAATGAGACTAACATGTATAAATAAATTCAATTTAATTCAATTCAAAAATACTTTATTAATCCCAAAGGGAAATTAATTGTTGTTGTAGCTCATCTTGGTTTTATTAGAGTTGTTCTAGATGCTGATGGTTTTGGGCAGAAAGGATCTCTTGTAGCAGTCCATCCCACAGTAGATCCGAATAAACTGGCTGAAGAGGCCGATCCGTCCACACAGACCCAGCAGACCTCACGTCCTCTTGGGCAGTAGGACTGCCTGAATGCCAGGTAGAACTCTTCCTGAGCGATGGCCATTTCTCCCAGCAACCTGCCAAGACCCTCATCACCATGGACTTAACTGCAGGTGCCGGGGGCCGATCTCGGTCCTCCCGCTGTCACGAGCTATGTTTCCCTCTACCGCCAAGATCTCGGCGATCCGGGGCTCAAGCACAGCCTCTAGGTAGACGGTAATGCATACACGGCACCTCCTTTACAACTCATTTTGGATTTGGAGCTGTAGTTGAGGTCTTATTTGAGCTTTTGAGATGTTAATCAGCAGATCTCGGTTGTAGAAAACCACCTTGTTGTTATGGTTATGCATCATAACAAATGTCCAAAAGTAAAAAAAGGTTTCAGTAAAGTCCTTCCAGCTGCACAGCGTCTGATATCAGAGGAAGCAATCGTCTGAAAAAAGTGGTTTACATCCAGAAAAATTAATATATAAAGTTTTCAAAAGCAAAATCTCAGAATGAATGTAAGAGAGCTACTCCAACATGTAGCCACATTGGGCGGTGCAATTCTGGAAGCCACGGTTGAATGAATATTCGGTTGTCACTTTGTTCATGTGCGTTTTCTTCTCTGAATGAGGAAACGGGTGGAGAAAAACATAAGGAGTGAAAACTGAGGTTCTTCATGTAACGAAGATCATCAGCAGCCTGTCGCTGGGAGTCATTCTTTGTTTCCAGCAACAGTGATCTGGGTCAGCTCCGTCAGAACACACACTGACAGGATACCATACCATTTTATTTATAGAGCACTTAAAACAGCGACAAGGCCAACCAAAGTGCTGTACGGACAGAACAACAGGTAACACACAAAGCAAAATACAAAATGAAGTAAATCAGAATATAGACATAAAAACGATGCAGATAATGACGACAAACCAGTGTGGAGCGTACAGGTTCAAAACACAGATCATCTGGTGTTGAATGCTTCTGAATAGTAGTGGGTTTTTAAGCGGGACTTGAAAACCGAGAGGGAGGGGGCCTGTCTGACAAGCAGAGGTAACTCATTCCAGAGTTAGAGCAGGGCTGGTCAAAGTCTGGCCCGCAGACGGATTACGTGACACCCAAAAACTGCAATTGAACAATTTATATCATTTTGGCCTTAATGCAGATGGACACCTTTTGATTTTTCTTTCTTTTTATAGTGTTTAGGTTTAACAGTAACCTGGCTTCAAAGCTGATGAGGAAAAACTGTCTGTAGAAAATCACAATTGTGGCTTATCTGACACTGACTCCCCTGTTTGGCCTCGGATATGGGAAGACTATCAAATTTCTCCTGGGTCATGGATAACTAGGGACAAAAGTTTTGTCTATCGCAACCCCCCCTCCCACCTCCCACCCCCACTCTGAGAACTTCTGTGCAGGCTCATCAGAACTGCCGGCTGAAACATCATCATCAGAACTGTGGCCTATCTGAAAAATGCTCATGGACAATTCCCAACGCCTTGACATCAAATGCATAATCATGTTTTTAAGTGTGCTTGATGGTAGAGTTTTTAGATGTCTCAAATCGTGATCATAATTCAGTGTTTCAGAAATGAAAAAGTCTCTTGACTTGATCATCAATAGAGGGGAAATGGAGCCTTTTTAATAGAATATGGAGTTGACAAATTTTACATACAATTCCATCACATACCACTGTCCTTCCAAAGCTTCCAGGAATCAGTTTTAGTCACTTCGAGCTACATTTTTTCAGTGATTCAACCATTTTTTAGACGGCGCCATCCATTGTTGTTGTGAAGTTTCTGTTTGTTGTTTTCATGCACCTCCTTTTGTCCACTTCCTTGTTGTTCAACTCCTGTTACACCCGTCTGTACATTTTTCATTTTTCATTTAGCCTTTATTTATCCAGGTACATCTAATCACCCCAGGTGTTTCTCATTCTGTCAAGTCAGCATTTCTCTACAAGTCTGTCTCTTTTCACTCCTCCTGTGTCCGTGCATTGTCCTCCAATGTCTTCGTTTTTCTGCTCCCTTGTCAGCTCCTTAAAAGTAGGTTTTTGGCTGCCCCGGCATATCTGTGCTGTTTTTTTGTAAATATATAATTCACTTACATTTACCTTGGAGTCTTCTGTCATTAACCTGCATGCGAGTTCAACACTTTAAAGCCGAATCATGTTAGTCCTGTTGGTCCAGAAGATTTTGGGAAACATCTCAGGTGGTATTTAAACTGGGAGCCAATTGGAACGTTAAGGGTCTACGACTAGACTCCATTACTTTATTTAGAGACTTTTTTTGAGAAAAGGGACTCATATTAAACTTTTGTTTCCAAGAATAGACTAAAATATATTTTCCAAGCACAAGAAAACCAAAAACAAATCTAACAAATCAAATAAACTCAATGTTCTTCTTTTGATACAGTAAACGTGAGTATTTTTGTTGCATTGATCATTTGGAACTCCTCTTCCATCAAAAGTAGTTTCTCAAAAATCTGGTGTTCATGTTGTTGCTGGTGAAGGATCTCAGTCATCCAGGGCATAGCTAATCCACTGAAAACAAACAAACCAAACAACTGGGCTTTAGTTAGCTGAAGATTTCTCAGTTCACTCTCCAGTATTGAGCTGAGAAAGCCCCCCAATGAAAAGTGAAACCGATTACAGAAGAGAAGTCCCAGTTAAAAGTAAAAACTAAAACAACTGGAAGTGTTCAATGTTAAGTGTGCTGTGATTTTTTTCCTTTGGATCATTTATTAGTTAAAACCCAGGAGAGGCAAAGTTTGTAAGTAAATAAAAAATACTTTATTATAATTAAAGTTTTTTTTTTCTGAAAAAATAGCAAAGTAACAAAACAATTTTCCCCATTCCTTGTGATGGCTGGATTTTTTTTCCCTTAAACAAAGAGCACAAAATGATCATTCAAGAATAAATTAGCACATCGTGTTCAGAAACTATGATAATTAAATAAAAATTATCCCTTCATTGCACTCCTTTTCTGGATTTTATTTTATTTTTTCTTAAATAGACAAACTACATATCACACCGCAACAAAAGTTATAAAACAATAAAATATATTTAGGATATAAAGTAATAAAACAAAAGTTATCCTCTGAAGTGAATTTCTTTTCTGGGCTTGAAAAATAACTACAAATCAACAATAATTAAGTGAAAATACAATAAATAAAGTGTAGATAACAAACAACCTCCAAAGCCTTGCGTTCAAAGAAATATTCCCAGAAGCCTCTCTGAGGCTCCCTGGGCTGCCACCTTTCCGTGGTGGAGGGGTTTGAGTGTCCCAATGATCCGTGGTGGAGGGGTTTGAGTGTCCCAATGATCCGTGGTGGAGGGGTTTGAGTGTCCCAATGATCCGTGGTGGAGGGGTTTGAGTGTCCCAATGATCCTAGGAGCTATGCTGTCAGGGGCTTTACGCCCCTAGTAGGGTCACCCAAGGCAGACAGGTCCTAGGTGAGGGACCAGACAAAGTGCAGCCCAAACACCCCTATGATGAGTAAAAGAAATGGACTTGATGTTCCCTCGCCCAGACGTGGGTCACCGGGGTCCCACTCTGGAGCCAGGCCTGGAGGTGGGGCACGCGGGCGAGCACCTGGTGGCCGGGCTTTTACCCATGGAGCTCGGCCGGGCACAGCCCGAAGAGGAGACGTGGGTCCCCCTTCCCATGGGCTCACCACCTGTGGGAGGGGCCAAAGGGGTCGGGTGCAATGTGGGATGGGTGGTGGCCGAGGGCGGGGAACTGAACTTGCGAACTAGTTTGATCAGAGACCTACACTCTGAAACAAGATCTAGACATTCATGTGTTTTATTTTATCTGATTCAACTAATCCCATAAACCAAGATTGTGTTTAACGATAATCTCAGTATTTCAAGCCATGATTTAAGAGCACCACTCTATTTTTTATTTTTTTTTTGCAACCCTTAAAGAAAATGAGGCCTAACAAATTATTAAAGAAACTAAACGTCGAAATACACCAGGACCTGCCATTCTGTGTTCATTTGTTTTTTCTTCCTGTCCTCTCAAACCCCAGAATGAATGACAGAATTAGAATGGTGGACTAAATTAATCAAATGTGTATAAATATTGCATTTAATATTTACTGTGTCAACATATTCAGTGTTACCGTTAGAAAACAAAGCTAACAAGTTTGTTATTTTTTACATTCTGCTGAAGAACTACAAAAAGTTGCAGCTCTGTAAGTAAAACATTAAAGTAAACTAAAGTTTTTTAAATAAATAAATGCTGTGAGTCACAATGGAAAGAGTCTGTATAACTAAATACTGGAGTTATCAGTTGGACACAAAGCAAAGATCAATTTCTATGTGTACAATTCTTACACTAGTAAAATGAATCACACACACGCAAAACAAATTTACAAAGACCTTGCAGAAATTCAAATTTTGTTCAAGAAGTAAAATCTCTACAAATATAAGCATTTAGAATTTTTTTTTTTTTTTGTAGAGATTATTTTCAACTGTTATCAGTATTTGAAAAGGTTCTAATAACCTTTAACAGTCCTTAGACTTGTGTTTAAAGAGATAAAGCCTTCTTTTCACAGATCCATGCTTTCTTTTCTTCACACCTCACTGGTTTCCAGTCTTGGTTTAGGACAGAAACCACACACAGACTGTCATTTGCAGGGGGACTGATCCAGTTACTGAAAAGAAGAAAAGGATTAAACCAGTGCTCATAGATTTTTGTTATTCAAAGTGAGGAAAAAATAAAACGTGTTTCTTACATATTGGTCATGTAGCTTCCATTGATCCATTTCCATTTTCCTTCTACGGCTTTCAGACCAATCCAGTACTCGTTCTTCTCTTCTCCAGGCTTACTGATAGACTTAACAAAATCCTATGAACGAAGTGAGAAAATTCACAGACATTTACTGTAAAAACTCAGTACTTACTACGTGAATGTATATTTTAAGTTTACTCGAATTGTTTACCTTTTCCTTGTTATCAGCAACAACAGTCAGATCAGAAATCTTTCCTCTGCAGTCTTTTTGTGCATCTTCCCATCTTAACTGAGAAGAGGGCGGAGCATCATTATATGCGTAACAGCTGGAGTTGAAGATTGACCAGCCCTGCTGACAAGGTTCACACGTTCTGACTGAAACAACAAAAATCAATCAATAAACATTATGACAACAGAATGTTTTTTTTTCTTTTTTAAATATCTACATACCCTTCATTTTTAGGGGACAGTAGGCATCAATGCTCCACTGAGCTCGACTCACATTGAGCTCAGTCCACGTCTTCTCCATGGTTTTGATTTGTTCTGTCAGGTTCTTCTTCTCTGCCTGCAGCTCCTGGTTTTGTTCGTTCAGGTTTTGATATGCTGCAGACAGATTTGCAAACTGTCTTGTCACAGAACAAATCAATTGCCTAATCTACTTCAGGTGCTCGTTATTTGGAAAATATAAAGTTGTTTTATAATTTTTTTTTAAATCAGTGATATTGATTGAAAAATCTATATTGTCCCTGTGATGGACTGAAGATCTGTCCAGGGTGTCCCATGCTTTTCATACAGTGACTGCTGGATATGGGCACCAGTGACCCCCGTGACCCGACAAGAAAGAAGCGGGTAAAGATAATTGAAGGATGGCTGGATGGATAGACGGATGGATGGATGGTTGAATAAAATTCCTTAAAAATCAAAAAACCCTTGTTGATCTTCTGTCGGACATTATACAGACTGCACTCAGGGCACTACATAATTTACATAAAATGTAAAATAAATATTTCATCCACGCACTCAACTTTAAAGCTTTTGGTTAATTTATAAAGTTATTTATTACCACTTGTGCATTTTTTCTTTGAATTTACTACGAACCCTCCCACCTCTTCACTGTTCATCAAAGAGATAATTGAATAAATTCTGTGAAACAAATACATTTTGTTCAGTACCAGATTTTCAAAAATGTAAACAGATTTCCTGTACATTACATGAGATCTGCATTATCTTTGAAGAAATCTTGTTCATGTTTTCCCTTGTCTCACATACTTACGATACATAATGATTCCAATGATGACCGACATCAAAATGATACAAAGAGTCCCCAAACAACACGTCAACAGCTGAAAGTACCGAAGTCTTGTCTTTGCTTCGTCTGACAAGATTCCTGCTGAGTCTACATGAGAAATACAATGTTAAAACTTTTGACACAATTTATTTGTTAACGTTACCTCACAACTTTGTAAGCAATAAGCTGAAAGATCATTGTCTCTAGCTGTAAACTAGTTCATTCTAAATAGTAACAGTTTTAGCTGAAGTTGCTCATAACATTTTATTTAACTCACATTTTGTGTCGGCACTTGGCTGCACTGTTTCATCGTTCACCCTCACTTCTTCATACACACATGGCTCTTCGTTTTTAGCTGAAATGGTTAGAAAGTTAAGAGTTTAGCTTTCACACAAACAAAAGCTAAGTCTAATTTTAAAACTTGATTTGTCTGTATAATTCAGGATACGACGGACGGACGGACGGGATAACAACAGATCAACATAAAAAAAATTAAGAAAATGCAGCCATTGCAGACACAGGAAATACTGAACAGGACTCTGTTATTAGAGGAGTGGTGGCGCAGAGATTAGAGAAGATGGGCCTGTAATCGGAAAGTCGCAAGTTCAACTCCCCGGACTGATGACATCAAAATGTGGAAGGAAAAGGTCAAACACCCACACCTGCCTCCACCCTCATTTGCCCCATTCTGGGCCCTTCAGCAAGGCCCTTAACCCCCACCATATGTTGCCAAACAGGTCTCTCTTGAAAATGAGTTCTCATGACTCAATGAGACTACCTGTATAAATTAAGGGTAAAAAAACTAAACAAATTAAAAAAACATACATGTTAAGCTGCCTTCAGGCCCAGGCCACCCTTGCAAAACAGATCTGTGATCTCAGTGGGATTTGCCTGGTTAAATAAAGGTTAATAAATAAATAAAAATAATAGCAGGTTCCAATAATTTTCCACTCTAACATTTTAAAATGAGAGACATGAGAGAGGATTTATATTCTAATATCACAAGATTTGACAGCTTGAACCATTCTGTTATTGTTGCTGCTGTTAAAGATAACAGAGGAAACTTTCACTGAGAATGGGATTTTTAAATGGTTGTAGTTACAAAGACGACTAAAGTCAGAAGTCTAACTGTCAATCAAGTTTTATGCTATTTTTTTTCTCAAGATAACCAGATAAGATAAGTCAGTGAGATAAATCACATTTGCACATGAGAATTACCTCATGAACAAATATGTAGACAGGTGCATTAACAGTATTTTTTAAATGCTTTTTAAATCTTTTAACTTACCTTTTGATTGGGGTGTTTTGTTGCTTTTAATTACCACAGAAGCATAGCTAACCTCTTCCTCTGCCATGTCGACAGTCTGACTGGCAAATTTGATCTGGCTTGTTGGTGGAAGTCAAAGCATAATTGAGCAACAAGCACAGTTTAGGAGAAGTGGCTGTTTCCTCTGTACGTGTCTCAAACGCAGTTTGCGAGTTTAAAGCTTCTGCTTTTCACTGTAAAACCTCCAAAATTGGACTTTAATTATTGTTCGTTCTTGCCTGTGGGCCACAATAACCAAATAGCATAATGCTGTACAAACACACTAAGTTTGGGGCCTAAAGAAAGAAGGACGTCATTAATTTGTACGCTTGCTTTTATAATAGTCAAACATGACAAACACAAGTCTGACATGATTGTTTTGTTTAGTTGAGCAGAATTGTGTTTGAGAGAAGTAACATCACAGACTTGCAAGAATAAAATCACAAATAACTAAAGCATAGATAAGATATGACTATTTAACGCAACAATTCATAAAGACGGAGATAACTTTTTCCAGATGAATGAAAACATGCTTCATTTCTTCCCCGCAAGTCAGAAAGGAAGAAGTGGGTAAAGTTAATGGATGGATGCTTCATTTGTTGTGAAAAGTGATTCCATCAAAAGTGATTGTTTGTTGTGTAGGGTTCCAGAGGCGTTCTCCTGCAGGTTCCTGAAGTTCTGGGCGGCACTGACAATCAGCAGCTGTGGTCCATTTCCTCTGACGAGCTCCAGGGAAGAGGGTGTGGAAATGTTTCTTTCTCTGGAACATTAGATACCAGTCAGTGTTGTTGTTAGCCTCCTAGTATTTTCATGAAGGAAGATTTATACTTACCCTTTTCCATCCATGTTTCCTAGAACCTGCTTCCCTGTGACCAAATCCTGGATTGTTTTTTCTCCTTTGTTGTAGGGATTTCAGCCTTTTGCAAGTTCAGAGTTCCAGGGTGGTGCCAATGAGTACCAGTTGGAGGTCATCCCACTAACTGGTTCCACGGGTATCAGAATTAGCCTTTATTGCCATTGCACCGAGGCACATTTCATTAATTTCAGTACAGCCCATCCAAAGAACACAAACAACCAAAAAAAACAGACAAAGAAAGACGGGGTGACTGAGGCTGCAGCCTCATGAGAGGCGCTGCCTTTATCGTTAGATAAGGGAAAGGGAACACGAGGAAAGAGGAGGTAAAACAAAATATCATATTTCACACTGTGTCCCTAACAGGACACAGTGTGAGCCTGGGTCACTCTTGCTGGAAATCCTCCGCCCTCTCCTCAACGTCACTACTGGTTCTCTCTACTGGTTCTCTCTACTGGTTCTCTCTACTGTATGATGCAAAGAATAATATAACCACAATTTCTCCTCCTCAGAGACTAATGATTCTCCTCCATCCCCAGGTTTCCCCGATCCTTGTGCTGTACATAGTTTGCATTCTCACTTTAAATAAATCACTTTTGTTATTTGAGTTTGAGTTCTGTTTTCCCTCAGTCCATATTCTCTGGGTTCTTGTCCTCGCGATGTTCGTGCCTCCAAGACGAGCCTTACTCTGAAATTTTGCGACCTCTTACCTTGGCCTCAGACCATCCTGCTCCTCCTCAGCCTCTCACCACCTGCCCGCCTTCAGTCCTCTACGGTAACCTTCACTATAAACTCAACTTCTCCTCCTCCACTGACCATACATACCTAGAATCTTCCAGTCCTCCCTCAAATGTCATGGAGCTCCCAAGAAACCTGTAAGAACAGAATATCTGTTACTAACCTCACCACCACCTACCAAAATCCATGCTTACTTACCTTCCTCTGTTTTTGGATCCTCCCAATGCTACCTACTGCATATTCAAACATTGTAAATAAATTCACTTACCTTGTCTATGCCAAGTTTGTGTCTGTTTCATCTCAGTACCTCTTCTCTTGGTTTAAACGCCTCCATTACGACGTATCCTGATGCATGCTCAATAATCCATTACAACGTCTTTTGTATGCAGTAAAAATAACAAATAGAAAAAACATTTACCATTTATTTTTACAAAAATGTGCTAGAACAGTATGAACGGTACGAATTCATTTGTTGGTATCCCTGAAAAGACTTCACTTTTTAGATCATAATCATGTTTCTAACTGAGGTGTTGTTCTGGCTGCTCCCTTCTGCTGGGGTCGCCACTTGCATGAAAAGTTTGTCAACGGTTTTCAAGTTCAAGAATCTTTATTATCCCCGAAGGGCAATTTGTTTCAGTCAGAAGGCACATAACACATTCATGCTAGACGAGACATTAAGACATTAGAGATCCTCATTGTTCCTTGAGAAGCCTGATCACTACAGGGATGAATGAGTTTTTCAGTCTGTTTGTCCTACATCTGCGCTGCAGATACCTGCGTCCAGATGGAAGTAACCTGAACTCACCATGAGTGGATGATCAGGATCTGCCAGAATCAGCCTGGCCTTGTTCATTGACCTTGCCTTGTGTAGGTCAGTGAGGTTCTGTAGGGCTATGTTTTATGTCCTTACTGAGGCAAACTGGGCTCAAACCTGCAGCCTCAGGAATACAAGAATGCAGCACTGACCACTGAGCTACCACAGCCCTGACAGTTTGACCTTATCGAGTGTCAAAGCTGCTTTCAAGCTCTTTATTAGCCTGTTTTGAAGGGCACAAACAGTACAGAGCAATACTTTTTATAATACACTTTTATTAGCCAGTTACTAAATGAATGATCAAGTATAATAGTGAGCAAAAGTTTTAAACCACCATTGATGTCCACTAATACTTTCAAAGACATAATTGTTTATATTGGTGTAGTTATCCAGGCTTTTAATGTTGTTTTTTATTTATTAGATGTGATATTTGTCGTAAAGTTTCAGAAAGTTCTTTTCTGGTACTTGAAAACGAAGATTTAGAGTACAGGTTTAATTTTTTGGGACATCTTATGATATCTGTGTGACATTTTTCACAAGTCTTGTAAGTTTTTTTTAGGATGTGTAATTTACAGTTTTTTTTTTGTTTTTTTTTACTGAAGCAGATCAATGAGAAGTGAATGACTGCTTTTTATTTTTTTATCACTGCGGTCAAAATTTCAGTTCAGCTAATGATAAAACCTCAATAGAATGTGTTAGCTAAACTTCTCTAAATATATTTCCTTAAAAACTGTTGAACAGAACGAATTAGTTAATTTGGACATTTTAACTTGCAAAAAAAACCCATGAAAAACAAGTTTTTCAACAAAGTATTTCAGACATCAAAGGTCAACACAGCTGATGCTGTGCTTCAGCACATATATGCACATTTCCGCATCTGCCAAATTAAATTTTTATTTAATTTTATTTTTACCAAAGCACTGATAGTCAGGCTGCATCACAACATGATACAGAACCGTTTCTACACCACACACAGTGGTAAAAGTGCCACAGCATAAAAAGCTAATGTAAAAATGTTTTCAGCAAGCATGAAGAGGATGCATTTCTCTGTTCATTATCTGTTTGTAACATATTAAAAAGCAGGAGTAAATGCTAAGTTCTTTTCAAAACCAAAACTGTTTAAAAATTAAAGTTACTTTGCAGATATTTTCTCCTCAGGAACAAAGTTTGATTTCACAAATCTTTAAAATACAAATAAGTAAAATGTCAACAATAACCTGAAACTTTTTTTTTATTTTTTATCGTTTTGGTATTTTAAATTAACCAAGAGGATCGGAAAATTGTAGCTGTTGGACAAAAACCTTGTATCTTTATAAAAGCATTTTTTTTTCTCCTAAGAATAACAACAATAATAAAAATAAAAATAAAACTTACTTTTAAACAAATAATTCCTGAGTGGTCACACTTCACAAGCTCTTTTTGACACTTTGATTAGATAGACAGCTATAAAGACCAGGGGTGGAAGTAACAAATTACAAATACTCTCATTACTGCAATTAAGTTGATTTTTGGGGTACTTGTACTTTTCTGAATATTTTTATTTGTTTATTTTTAATTTACTTTATCGATTCATTCCATACATGTCAAAACCATTGCACACTGCACAGGGTGTATCAACATCAACACCAATATGAATCTGTGCATTCATACATACATGCAGTACATACCTATATACAAATGTACACATTTGAACATACAGAAGCCCTTGCAAAACAAACCCACATCTGGAAATCCATCTGCTTTGACTGAAAGCACACAAAATTAAAAATAATAATAATAAATTTATCCCAATGTGCACACACCTATCCATGTATACCCATATACATGCACACACACAAATTCCATTTAACATGTCTGAAAAGGGGTAGGAAGAAGTAAAATGTATTTAATCCTACCCCTTCTCTCTCTCTCTCTCTCTCTCTCTCTCTCTCTCTCTCTCTCTCTCTCTCTCTCTCTCTCTCTC